TTGACCAGGATGGTCTCGATCTCTTGACCTCGTGATCCACCTGCCTCGGCCTCCCAAAGTGCTGGGATTACAGGCATGAGCCACCGCGCCCGGCCATATGCTGTCTTATTTAGTGCTTTCTTTCTTTCCTTTTTTTTTTTGGGGGGGGGGTTTGTTTGTTTGTTTTTAGACAGGGCCTCACTCTGTCACCCAGGCTGGAGTGCAGTAGCTTGATCTCTGCTCACTGCAGCCTCTGCCTTCCTAAGCTCAAGGGATCTACCCACTTCAGCCTCCCAAGTGTAGCTGGGACTACAAGCACACGCCACCATGCCTGGGTAATTGTTGTATTTTTTGTAGAGATGGGGTCTCACCATGTAGTCCAGGCTGGTGTTGAACTCCTGAACTCAAGCACCCTGCCTGCCTCGGCCTTCCGAAGTGCTGGGATTACAGAGATGAGCGTTATCCCATTACTGCGCCCGGCCAAATACTTTCTCATATGTTCTCTCTGCTTCTTTTTCTCCTTTCATATCCTCAGTGTGTAGATTGAATTTCCTTCTGCTGGTTTGAAAGGTATAGGTTATTCTTCTTACGGTTACCCTAACTTATTATGCCCTCTCCTTTACCTTATCACTATCTTATGTCTTCCCGATGAAGGAGACGGGGCCTTCGGCATGGCCCCATCCTGCCCTGCTCTCTCCACCTGTGCTGGCCCAGGGGCATCTCCACGGCTGGGTTCTGGGGAGGGATAAGGCAGCCCTGCTCATTTGCCATCTTACTCCAGAACTGGGCAAGGCTTGTTCAGGGCCATCCTAGGGGGACTCCAGCATTCAGTGGGGGTTTGCTTTAAATAACCACTAGGCCGGGCATGGTGGTTCATGCCTGTAATCCTAGCACTTTGGGAGGCCAAGGTGAGTGGACTGCCTGAGCCTAGGAGTTGGAGACCAGCCTGGGCAACATGGTGAAACCCCATCTCTACCAAAAATACAAAAGAAATTAGCTGGGCATGGTGATGTGCACCTGTAGTCCCAGCTACTCAAGAGGCTGAGATGGGAGGATCACCTGAGCCCATGGAGGTTGAGGCTGCAATGAGCCATGATCATGCCACTGCACTCTATCCTGGGCAATGGAGTAAGACCCTGTCTGTAAATAAATAAATAAGTGAGGGCCTCTGAAAAGGTCCCTCAGGTTTTGTGCAGGCTCTGGGCATGGTAGATCCTAAGGGGGAGTGAGATGGATAATGGACAAGTCGATAGAACCCAGAAACCCAGACTTTCTGAAGTTCTTCCTGTCTTCCTCTCTGAGACTTCTGCTCCTCGGTCCTAGCTTTGTTCCTAGCTGCTGTGCCGATATGTCTCCCACCCTGCCCTGTACAATATGCAGGAAGCAGTCGAGGAGGGGTGCCTCAGAGAGACAGTAGGGAGGCGTGAGGGCGAGGCAGAATTGGCATGGGCACGCCCTGCAGAGTGAGAGGCAGTCCTTATGGACCACGTCGCTCTCACGGCAGAATGTGTGTCCAGCAGTGCCGACTAAGCCTTCAGCATTTCACAAGCACCCAGGAAACTGAATTTTCTAGGTGAAATCTTCCAATTTGCACATGTTGGCTCGAAAATGTCGATAATCTTTTTTTTTTTTTGAGACAGAGTCTTGCTCTGTTGCCAGGCACCAGGCTGGAGTGCAGTGGCACGATCTCAGCTCACTGCAACCTCTGCTTCCCGGGTTCAAGCAATTCTCCTGCCTCAGCCTCCCGAGTAGCTGGGACTACAGGCGCGTGCCATCACACCCAGCTAATTTTTGTATTTTTAGTAGAGATGGAGTTTCACCATGTTGGCCATGATGGTCTCCATCTTTGGACCTCGTGATTCGCCCACCTCAGCCTCCCAGAGTGCTGGGATTACAGGCTGAGCCACTGCGCCCAGCCTAAAATGTCTATAATCTTGTGTGGGCCAAACAGCATGTCTGCAGGCTGGATCTGGCGCAGATGTGGGTCCCCATGACCACAGCTCTGGCTGGTCGATGGTTGTGTCCTTGTCACCCTTGACTCTTCTTTCTTCTGGTTAAATGTCCAGAAGAAACAAATGTCCTTTCCGGACTCACTGACTTCCCCAAAGATGTGGTTTCCTATACCCCCTTTCTCCACCAGCTACTTCTTCTGGGCCCCTGTTCTTGGTCAGCTTGTTAGTCTAAAATCTTGTTTTACAGGCTGGGTGCGGTGGCTCACGCCTGTAATCCCAACACTTTGAGAGGCTGAGGCGGGTGGATCACCTGAGGTCAGGAGTTCGAGACCAGCCTGGCTAATATGTTAAAACCTCATCTCTAATAAAAATAAAAAAATTAACCAGACGTGGTGGCAGGTGCCTGTAATCCTATATACTCGGGAGGCTGAGGCAGGAGAATCGTTTGAACCCAGGAGATGGAGGTTGCAGTGAGCTGAGATGATGCCACTGTACTGAAGCCTGGTGACAGAGTGAGACTCCATCTCAAAAAAAAAAAAATCTTGTTTTACAAATGATGGCCAACCCATCTAGTGCTCTCCACACTCCCGTGCTGTTTCTCACAGCCATGTGTTCCGTTAAGCAGGCTGCAGGCAGCCTTGGTTTGCATTAGTAATTTCTTAGTGAATGGGTAGTGTGTGGGTAAACCTCATTCTCACCCCATGAGTGTAGGGCACGTGGGTTGGGTTTTCCTGGAGCTTGTCTGCAGCTTGCGCCCTTGAGGCCTTGTTTCTGAGGTAGTAAAGGGACATTGTCTGCTTTCCCCTGAGGGCATGTATACACACAGGTCGTGCTGCCCCTAGTCCCCAGTGCCTTGGCGTGCAGAGGGCAGGGCTATGGCGCGGCACAGAGCTCAGGACCTATGAGCCTCCTTGGGTGGTTTCTCCTGCCTGCTGTGGCCTCTGTGGCCCTGGCCTTGAGCTCCTTTCCTGTCACTTTTGTGCCTCTGCCACTGGGCCCCCTTCTGCCCGAGTGGCAGGAGCTTGTAGGTTTGTATACACAGGCAGTTGGTGACTCATTTCTCAGCAGCCCCTCGGATGGGGAAGTGAAACAGCCACACCTGGTAGGGCCTGACCTTTGGGTAACAGCCTTGACCTATGGGGCTTGCTGCTAAGCAGGGAAGTCCTCTCTCAAGCCAGCCTGTGAAGACAGCACTTGCCTGCCCTGACCCTCCTGTGGCCTCCAGGCCTGTGACTGATAACAGTTTCTTCCTCCTGCCCCACCACCCCTGTTTTCTTGGTGACAGCTGGAAGTAGCAGTGGTCACAACTGAGAGAGCCAAACATTTCTACAACCCCCAGGACATTCCTGTCTCCCTCTACAGTGACGCTGATGAATGGGAGGTCAGTGCTGGGGGCCCCTGGGCTGAATTCCACTGTGTTTCCAACAGCAGGACAGAGCAGTCCTCCCTGCAGCCTATGGTCTGGTGGCCGGAACAGACAGGCTGGACTCAAGTCCGAGGTCAGGGCCCTCTGGGCAGAGGCAATGAAGAAAACATCTGTCTAGCTTCTGGCCTGCAGGAGGCCCTAGTCTCCTCCCAGCCCAGGCAGAGCTGGGCTTTGGCCTGGTGCCTGAAGTTGAGTGTCCTTGGACTTATCTGGGCTGATGAAACCACAGAGGAGCTCTGTTCCCACCACCCTTGTCCACGTGGCTCCTGGCGTCAGGGCTGAAGAGAATGCCTCACTTCCCACGGCCGCCGGGCTCTGCTGCATCTCCCCTGCAAATGGGTGGGCACTGGCTGATTCACCAGACGCTAAGTGTGGGCCTCACAGGGGTTCCCTGCCAGGCATTTTCAAACATTCTCAGCCTAGAACATTTCTGGCTGGACTGTCTTCCCCGCCCCACCCCCTCCATTTCTCACTGCCTTCCACTGGCTTGGACAACCCAAGCATCCTCCTCAAGCAGACAGCCGGGGAGCTCCCTGCCAGATGTCAGTTCTGTTGAAAGCCAAACCATGAAGGAGTAGCTCAGAGAGACAAGGGGCGCTTGTTTCTTCGGGCCTGGTTCTCTCGGCTGCTGGCTCCATGGCTGGCACTCACCAGCTTAGCTGCGGGAGGGAACGGAGGTGGCCTGGGCAGGGCAGGTGGGAGGGCTCCTCACCTCCTGACTTACTGTACCTGGCCTGCCTTGGTGCTGTATCCCGCTTCCTCCACACTGACCCTTTTCTTTCCTCTGCCAGATGTGGAAGTGCCGCACTGACCCGGTTCTGCACATTGACCTGCGGAGGTGGGCAGACCTCCTGCTGGTGGCTCCTCTTGACGCCAACACTCTGGGGAAGGTGGCCAGTGGCATCTGTGACAACTTGCTCGTGAGTGACGCCCTGGTGCACTCGTCCCTCCTGGGCCTCACTCCCAGTTTGCTGAGCTGCAGACTTCCTTGTGCATGGAGACCTGCTACTCTGGGGCCCCGGTCTGCTCAGGGATGTCGTGCTCCCCCATTCCCTGCATCACCCCCAGTGCTCTCACCTCTCCAACATGTGGGCACAGCCCTGGTCCTGATGGGTCAGCCTGACCTGCCACTGCTCTCCGGGACTGTCCTCCTCTCTCCTGCCCTCAGTGCCCAGCCAGGTGCCACAAGCCAGCCCCTTGTTCCTTGCTCTTTGTCCCTCCCCATGGGCTGCCTGGGGTGTGCCCTTCCACTGTCTCCTGCCAAGCCCCATCGCCTGCTGCTTCAGCTCTGACTTCTCCCCGGATCTGGGTATACACGTGGGCAACGTGATTGGGGGTCCACTTCTTCATAGATGGCTTGTGCACATTTTCTCGCCCTTGTAGCTTTCCTATATACTAGGGGAAGCTTAGAGGGGAAGAGGGGAGAAAGGGGCAGTGGCAGGAGCTAGGGAGAAATGGAAGTCCAGCTGTCCAAAGTGGGTACTGTCCTAGGCCTAAGACACCCCCAGGGAGCTGTTGCCCTTAGAGAGGAGCTGCCTTTGTTTATATGATTGTCCTGGGAAGATTTAGGAGTGATTTCTCTCCTACCTCTCCCTAATTGCCACCCCCCACCTCATTTATTGAGCTTTTGCCTACCACGTACCAGGGTCTATGCTGAGGGCCTCACAGAACTCAGGGCGCTCCCAGGCTGGAGGGAGAGTGCCAGGCCTGATCACCCATGCCGGTGGGAAGGGAGTATGCTCCGGTGAGTGGTACAGTCCTGAATGACCGCGGTCAGCCCTTTGGTTACGGAGTCACCACCTTTCATAGTGCTGAGACTGTAGTACACATCCACATGCCACCAAAATACTTACCCCGTGTTGAGGTTAACTAGCAGTTTTACTTCTGCAGGTAGCTGGGAGTTTTTCGGAGTTTAATGTGGTGGAGAAGGTGAATAAAGAAGCTGGGACAGGTTGTTTTTTGGGGTCACAGATGAATGTTCTTGTACACTTATCAATGGGCCCTTAAGGCACTCCTCAAAGAATCTGCCAGTGATTTAAGCATCATTTGAATAAGAGCACAGAGTGAGCAGAACAACAGCTTGTGTGGCCAGGAGCAGGGGTAGGGAGTGCAGAGAACAGAGAGCCCAGGAGCAGTGTCATCAAGAAGGCTTTCCCTATAGACCCAGCTAGTTGGGAGGCTGAGGTGGAAGGATTGCTTAAGCCCAGGAGTTCTAGGCTACAGTGCCCCCTTGATTGTGCCTGTGAATAGCCAGAATAACCAGTGTGCTCCAGCCTGGCCAACATAGCAAGACCCTGTCTCTGTTAAAAAAAAATTAAACAGGGCCAGGCGGTGGCTCATGCCTGTAATCCCAGCACTTTGGGAGGCCGAGGCGGGTGGATCACGAGGTCAAGAGATCGAGACCATCCTGGCCAACATGTTGAAACCCCGTCTCTATTTTTAAAAAATTAAAAATAATTTAAAATAAAAAAATTAAAAAGGAAAAGGCCAGGTGTGGTGGCTCATGCCTATAATCCCAGCACTTTGGGAGGCTGAGGCAGGAAAATCACTTGAGCTCAGGAGTTTGAGACCAGCCTGAGCAACATGGTGAAACCCCATCTCTACAAAAAAAAAAAAAAAAAATTAGCCAGACATTGTGGTGGATGCCTGTCTTCCCCAGCTACTTGGGAGGCTGAGGTGGGAGGATCACTTGAGCCCAGGAGGTCAAGGCTGCAGTGAGCCATGATTGTGCCACTGTACCCCAGCCTGGGTGACAGAGTAAGACTCTGTCTCAAAAAACAAACAAAAAAAAGGCTTCCCAGCAGGGCTGGTGCCACAAGTGACATGGCAGCGGCAGCTGGAACGGTTGAGTTTCCTGGCCACTTTCATCAAATTGGGTCAGAGTTATCCAGAGATGGCCAGCACCATCTCACCAAATCTCCAGGCTCCCCACTGGTGGGTCAGCAGCAGCTGATGTGGCGAAGCTCTGGCCTCTGGGAGTTCAGCCCTAGCCTGGGCCAGCTCTGCAAGGGTGCTTTCCTTCTTCCTGAAAGCTCTGCTTCCCTTTTCTTCTAAGCTGCCATCACTTCATGAAATCCCTGGGCTTCCCTCCTCCAGAGTTGGCTGGGCAGTGAAACATGTTCCGAAGACCAGCCAGCCCCCAGATCATTTGCCTCAAAGGGTTTCCCTCAAAGTCACAAACGTTTCAAGGAATCTCAAATGTTACAGTTTGAAGTGTGGGCATTGGTGGCACGTGGCTGTGTCCTCTCTCTGTAGCTGTTTTCTCCCTACATCCATGAAAGGAAGCTGAGCCTGCTCCCTCCGCAGCTCTGTCTTTCCAGCGCCCAGGGCATGGGGTGATAGATGTGACCATGCTCCTGGCCTCCAGGCTCATCTCCCTCTGTCCTTTAGCCCACAGAGGCCCTGGGCTATTTGACTGAACCGGCAGTCAGACCCAGAAAGAGCAGACAGTCTCTCTGGATCACCAGTCTGGCTGGGAGCCGGTCTCCTGACTGGGATCTAGGCCTTGTCCCCTGCCCACGTGAATTCCCAGGGGGCAGAGCCTGAAGTGTTGAATACAGCACTGGCCAAAGAGATGTCACCGTGGGAACTGAGGCCCTCTTCTCCCCTGCCTGCTTTCGTGGGTTCGGAGGAGCTGAGGTTTGTCTGAGAGGAGGTGGAGTGCTGGTTTTCACCCTGATTGGTGTATTTGCTTTGAGGGCACTTAGAAAGCCCAGCCCAGCCCTTGCTCCCACCCTGCACACAGCGGAGCGACTCTTCTAGATATGCTCTTGACTTCTGCAGAAGCTGCTGGTGGCACAGAGCCAAGAGGAAGTGTGACTGAAACTGTCCACTCATAGCCCGGCTGGCGTATTAAGAGGGCTTGGTGGGAAACCAGTGCTGGTGTCGGCTGATGCAAGCATCGGGTCCCAGGGCTGTTTGCTGTCCCACTTCCTCGCTGTCCGGCGTCCTCCCTGGCCCTGGGACTTGGGGGAGGTGCTGGTCCTGGCCTGTCAGGGCATTGTTCTCTGGACTCCCTCACTCTTTTCCCAGATGAGCTTCCCTTCATGGGAGGGGTTTCCAGCCCCTGTCACCCTGAGGGCTCACAGCCCTGAGGAGGTGTCTGGAGCAGTGAGAACACGGGGAGCTTCTCTCTCCCCCGGGCAGCCCCCAGCCCAGGGAGCCCGCGCCTATGGGAAGCCCAGGAGGCCCTGCCCTGGAGCCTGTGCTGCGCTGGGCCCTGTGCTCAGAGCTTTGCAGCCATTCTCACCTCAGTCCTCACAGCTGCCCGGTGAGGGACCTTTCTAGAGAGGAAGCCAGGCCCTGGCCTTCAGTCCCGTGTGTGGGTTCTCACAGCTAGTAAATACAGAGCTGCCAGGATTTGAACTCAGGGCTCCATGATTTCAAAATCCATGGCACGAAGGACTCTGAGCTGGTTGGCTTTTTCCCAGCTGCTCAGTTCTGTCTTGGTGGGGCGGCCTGGATTTGGGAGGTGGTGAGACTGCAGTGGAAATTGCCTCGGTGGCGCCTGTTGTCCGGTGTGAGCTTGGATGACTGCTTACCTCTCGGGATGCTGCAGCTCCCATCTGTGAAATGGGACAGCGCCCTCTTGATAAGGTCACAGTGAGGGTTCATGAGACCCTATACATGAGAAGGTTCTGGTCACGGCAGATGTTTTCATTGCCACACGTTAGTTGGCTTCGGAGAGCTGATGTTGGGTAGATGGGCCCCACCTGAGGAGCAGCCTGGTCCTCTGCTTTCTGGTGTAACCAAAAAAAGGCTGCCTTCTGTTCCCCAGGGTTGCTTCTCCCAGGAGGTGTGAGCCTACCTGGAGGAGGCTTGGGCATAGGCATACCTGCTGGAGGTGGCGGGGCCATTGTGAGCGTTGGTTGAGCACCTGCTATGTGTAGGATCCTGTGCCAGAGCGCGTGGGGAGGTGGAGAGGCGAGGAGACACAGCCCCCACCCCCGAGGGACGAGACAGCTCCCTGCAGGCAGGCTGTGCCCAGTCACCCCAAGCCCATGGCCGGGCTACTGGCTGTGGGGTCTGGAGGGTGGCGGGGAGGGTGGAAGACAGAGCAGCAGGACCCCCCACTTTCCCTGCCCTCTTCACAGACCTGCGTCATCCGGGCCTGGGACTGCAGCAAGCCCCTGCTCTTCTGCCCGGCCATGAACACCGCCATGTGGGAGCACCCCGTCACAGCACAGCAGGTCAACCAGCTCAAGGCCTTCGGCTATGTTGAGATCCCCTGCGTGACCAAGAAGCTGGTGTGCGGAGACAAAGGTGGGTGTCTTGCCAGCCTCATAGCCCAGGGCCATAGAAGGGGCTCAGCTTTGGGGTCACATCTCAGTTCAGTTCCTGGCCTGTTGTGACCTTAGCAAACCATTCGCCTCTGAGCTTAGCTTTCTCAGCTGGAAAATGGGAATTGTAATTCCTGCCTCCAGATTGGTAGGATAAAATGGGATGGAATGGGTAAAGTGCCTGGTAAAGTCCCTGGCACACAGCCCGCACGCCACTAAGGATGGCTACTGAATGATTCCCAGGGCCTGACCAGGGTCTCGGTAGGGATATGATGTGTCTGGCTCAGGCAGGGAACGGGCCTGGGGGCTGCGGGGCTGCAGGCACTGTCAGCCCATCTGGCCACAGTGGAATTTTGCTCCCAGGTCTGGGGGCCATGGCTGAAGTGGGCACCATCGTGGACAAAGTGAAAGAAGTCCTCTTCCAGCACATTGGCTTCCAGCAGAGTTGACCTGGGACTCCTGGGTATCCCTCTATACTCAGAATGGGTTCAGGCCAAGTTGGTGAAGATAGATGTTGGCAAAACAGGAGGATTCCTTCATTTGCTGAATGGGGTTCTGGCTGAGGCCTACTCTGAGCCTCCCTAGGGAACGGACCTGCTCCAGGAGAAACTGGATGGAAGGCCCAGGTCTCAGCTTCTTTCCACTAGGAGATGGCCGCTGCCTAGAGCCCCTCCCGACCTTTTCCTGAATGGGCAAGGCAGGCCAGGAGAGCAAGCAGTGTTGCCCTCACGGGAGGAGGACTGGATGACTGGGAAAACTCGGCTCTACATCTCACGCAGAACGGCCTTTAGAGACAGCACAGCTGGAGAGCCCTGGCCGAGCCTTGGGAGCTTCAGCTCTTTGGCAGAGTGCCCAGGTGCCATGCATCAGAGAAGCCTGCAACTTGGCAGGATGCTGAGGTCTCCTGCACACCATGTCATGAGATTCAAGGTGTTGGGAAATAAAGAAAAATGACCATTTAGGAGACTCCATTCTTTCTCTACAACCCATCTGTGGTCTCAGAGATCGGGGGTGTTGCCAGGCGTGGCTGGGGAAGGGTCTGGACTGACGATTCCCTGGCACTCTTTAGTACCCATATAACGTGGGTAAGGATAAAGCTCTGAGGCCAGACAGCCCCTAGTTCCAGTGCCAGCTCTGCCCCTTACTAGCATAAGAGCTGGTTCAGGACTTAGCCTTCCTGACCTTTCCTCAGCTATCTTCTTATCCTACCCTCAGGGAATTAAGAGGATTCAGTGAAATTATGTGTCCAAAATACCCATGCCACCAAGTGCCTGGAACACAGTAAATGTCAAATCGGTGGAAGTTAAAACTAGGCATATATGCCCGAGAGCTTTCCTAACATTTACTGCAATGCCGTCTCATTTTGGGAAAAAGGAAACCCTGGATGCTAAGCTGACACGTCCCCTTATGCAAGTGACAGGTAAGCAGCCAGGAGGGTTGACCCTGCCCTGGATCCCAGGCCTCTTGCCTGCTTCTTGGTTTCCTCTTGTCCTCATCCTTTTGTTTTACTGGACCGAGCATAGAAAGTTAACACGAAGACAAAAGTATGCCAAATTGTAGGGTCTTTATTGCCGGCGACCACAGAGGACTCACGTCTCTCCAACCTGTGGCATCGAAAGGAGGGTGCCAAGACTTTTTATACCCGAAAAACCACCTTGGGGGTGGGGGTGAGGAGCGGGGATGGGGATGAAAAGTCTTCAGACATTCCGAGGGCTAGTGGATTCTGTAAATCACCTCCTGGGCGGAGATGAGGGCTCCGGATATTCCAAGGGCCAGGGGACTTTTGTCATTCCGTTTGTTACTTAAGTGGTTTACAGAAGTCAAGGTAAATATTTGTTTACACATTATCTGGGTAAGGTGGAAATCACAGACCTTAGTTACTTATTACAAGTCGCGGGAGCCAAGATGGCATTAGCTTGGGCTGCTTATTCTGGTACTGATAAGAAAAGGTAAACAGCTTTACATAGTGGGCATTTTTCAGAGCAAGCTAGCAGCTTTATTTACAGAAGCCAAACACAGCTTTATCTTATAAAATGGCGTTGCTCAGGTTCTGGCTCTAGGTCAGCTCAATATCACGCTTTCAGCTTTGCTGGACCTGAAGCAGGGGCTTGGGTGTCTGTGCCCCCACCCCCCAGTACACATGACCAAGGGAAGTAGATCCGGAGACACCATGCACTCGGGCCTGGAAACCCTCTGCTGCCCAGCTTTTGACCTCATTGCCATTTGGTGTGGCTGCAGTGGGGAGGGCTTGTCTGCTATTTGGAGCTGAGGCTGAAGCTGGCTTCCAGCCAGGTGTGGGGAGCATCCCATGCGTGCTCTGAGAGCGCTGAGTAGAGGTGCCTTGAGGGGAGCAGGAAGCCTGCTGGCCAGGATCAGTGCTCCGGCAGCTTCCACAAGCCTTTATCGCTGCAGCACTTGACTTCACCAGGTGATCCTTTGGGGTAAAATTGCCTTAGGCAAGAAGTAAACTATCACTAAAACGGTAGCATCAAGAACCAACTTTTTTGGCTGGTTTGGGGATGGGGCATAGGGAGAACCTGGGTAACTGAAACCCAGAGGCAGTCCCAAAAGTCCATTCGCAGGGTTTCCACACTGCCCTTCCTCTCCCTCGGCAGCCCACTGGTAAATGGTGAAGCTTCCCAATTTTATTTATTTATTGAGACGGAGTCTCACTCTGTCACCCAGGCTGGAGTGCAGTGGGGTGATCTCGGCTCACTGCAACCTCCACCTCCCAAGTTCAAGTGATTCCCCCGCCTCAGCCTCCTGAGTAGCCGGGACTACACGCGTGTGCTACCCTGCCCAGCTAATTTTTTGTATTTTAGTAGAGATGGGGTTTCAATCAGGATGGTCTCAATCTCCTGACCTCTTGATCTGCCCACCTCAGCCTCCCAAAGGGCTGTGATTACAGGCGTGCGCCACCATGCCTGGCCGCCAATTTTATTTTTATTTATTTATTTTTTGAGACAGAGTCTCTCTGTGTCGCCCAGGCTGGGGTACAGTGGCACAATCGCGCCTTAAGCCATTCTCCCACCGCAGCCTTCCGAGTAGCTGGAATTACAGGCGCCTGCCACCACACCTTATTTTTGTATTTTTTGTAGAAATGGGTTTTGCCATGTTGGCCAGACTGATGTTGAACTGACCTCAAGTGATCCACTGGCCACGGCCTCCCAAAGTGCTGGGATTACAGGCGTGAGTCCCATCACGCCCGGCCACTTCCCAATTTTAACACAAACTCCTACCATTTACTGAGTACTCATCATGTGCAAGGATCTATACCAGGCACTTTAGGGAAGACAGTTGCCCAGGGAGATCAACCACAAAGTGCCTGTGTGAAAAGGCCATGGGAGCAGGGAAGTTCACAGGCCACTGTCCCAGAGCTCTGAAAACAGCTGTGGCTGCTCAGCAGGACTACGCCTAGTTGGCTAGAAGGAGACACATCCCTGTGGACTCAGGCCAGCTGGAGGCCCCTGTCTCTGAGGGTTCACTCCTCCGTCTCCCACCCACAGCAGTCCTGCATCCCTGCTGCCCATTTTAAAGGGGGGTCCGGATGAATGGGTCTGGGCTAGGCCTAAAGAGCCCAGCTGTTCCCTGAGCCAGACTGGAGCTAAGAGGGACAGGCGCTACAGTTAGCTGGCCCCATCTGCCAGCAGGGTGCCGAGCGGGTAATGACAACTACCACTTTCCCCACGAGGGGCCCAAACTCTTGACATTATCTTAATCTTGGGGAGAAATGTTTCTCAGAGTAGATTCTAGCCTCCCTGATGATTTTTATAGAATTTTGGAAGTTTAAGAGAATAGAACATTTGGGTCTGAAATGTTCACTCTTTCTTGTGTGGCCGCCACGAGCCCTTCAAGGCTGCTGTGGATGCTGCTGGGTAGGGCAGAAGCCTCCAAACCAAGACCCAGCTTCCACCCTGGGCCTCCTCCAGCCCTTCCTGCTCCTGGCTGATCAGGTCCTGCTGCTGCCTCCCCACTGCCTCACGTCAGGCCCAACTCCTGGATACACGCCTGGTCCTTGGTGATCTGGCCCCTGCCTACTCTTCTATCCCTGCCCTTTACCACACGCCAACCCCAAAGGGCTCCCTATTCTCTTGCCAAACTGGACAACCTTGAACCTGCCGGGCCTCTTGCCTGTACACATGCTGCCACTTTTACTAGGATGAGACTGACTCCCACATACCTGTCTGTGGATGTACCTGGGGGCTACCTCTTTTGGAAAGCCTTCCCTGGTAAACTGCAACCTCCTTGCCCATATAGTGCTTCTATCTATTTTTTGAAATGGAGTCTTGTTCTGTTGCCCAGGCCGGAGTGCAGTGGTGCGATCTCAGCTTACTGCAACCTCTGCTCCCAGGTTCAAGTGATTCTCCTACCTCAGCCTCCTGAGTAGCTGGGATTACAGGCGTGCACCACCACGCCCAGCTTTTTTTTTTTTTTTTTCTGAGATGGAGTCTTGCTCTGTTGCCCAGGCTGGAGTGCAGTGGCGCAATCTTGGCTCACTGCAACCTCCACCTCCCAGGTTCAAGCAATTCTCCTGCCTCAGCCTTCTGAGTAGCTGGGATTACAGGTGCCCGCCACCACGCCAGGCTAATTTTTGTATTTTTAGTAGAGACAGGGTTCCACCAAGTTGGCCAGGCTGGTCTTGAACTCCTGGGATTACAGGGATTACAGGATTACGCCCACCTCGGCCTCCCAAAGTGCTAGAATTACAAGAGTGAGCCACCACTCTCGCCCACCACTCTTTATTACAACAGAATTGTAATTGTCAGTTTACTTTGTGTCCCCCTAAAATTGGGATCTCTTGGAGAGCAGGAGTTGTCCTGTTCCTTACAGAACCCAGCAAGTCACTCCAAGCTCGTACCAACCAAAAAAGCGGTGTGTGTGTCGGGGCTATTGGTTCCTGCTCCTTTCTGTGCAAGAGACAAAATTTAGGAACCACAAAAGCCAAGACTAGGCCAGGCACAGTGGCTCACACCTGTAATCCCAGCACTTTGGGAGGTTGAGGCAGGCAGATCACGGGGTCAAGAGATTGAGACCATCCTGGCCAACGTGGTGAAACCCTGTCTCTGCTAAAAATACAAAAATTAGCTGGACGTGGTGGCGCGAGCCGGTAATCCCAGCTACTCGGGAGGCTGAGGCAGGAGAATCACGAACCCAGGAGGCAGAGGTTGCAGTGACCTGAGATTGCGCCACTGCAGCCTGGCAACAGAGCAAGACTCTCTCTCAAAAAAAAAAAGCAAAGATTAATAAATTTGACTATAGAAAAATAGGTTCACTGAGGAACAACCCAAAGTCAAGGTAAGAGGACAACACACTGGGGAAATTACCTGCAGCTCATGTAACAAAGGGCTGATCCTAACATATAAAGAGCTCCGGCCGGGCACGGTGGCTCACGCCTGTAATCCAAGTACTTTGGAGGCCAAGAAGGCGGGCGAATCACCTGAGGTCGGGAGTTCAAGACCAGCCTGACCAACATGGTGAAACCTGTCTTTAAAAAAAAAAGAAAAGAAAATGTATGTGTGTATATATATATATATATATATATACACAGAGAGAGAGAGAGAGAGAGAGAGCGCTCCTATGCATTGATGACAAAAAGGGCCAGGCGCAGTAGCTCACACCTGTAATCCTAGCTTGTTGCGGGGCTGAGGTGGGCGGATTACCTGAGCTCGGGAGTTTGAGATCAGCCTGGCAAACCTGGTGAAACCCTATCTCTACTAAAATATAAAAAAATTAGCTGGGCATGGTGGGGCATTCCTGTAATCTCAGCTATTCAGGAGGCTCAGGCAGGAGAATTGTGTGAACTCGGGAGGTGGAGGTTGCAGTGAGCCGAGATCATGCCACTGAACTCCAGCCTGGGTGACAGAGCAAGACTTCATCTCAAAAAGAAAAAGAAAAAAAAGACCAAGAACACACATTAAAAAGTGAGCAGAAGATAAAAACAATTCACATTAAAAACAAA